CCTTCACTGAGCCCCAATTCCTGCTTGGGTGTGCCTCCTATGGTCTCCCCCCGGAGCACTCATTAAACTGCATTATAATTGCCTATTTGCTTGTCATTATCTCCACTGTCTATTCCATTCCTTGTTGCCAAGCCAATCAATGCCCAACCTGATTACTGACCCATGAGAGTGGACAGTCACAGGACAGTAGAGAAACACAGATGTGTGGTATGAATCAGCTTCTAACCTTGATTCTGAACCTGACTGCTTTGTGACCTCGGATTGATGATTTAGTATTAGTCTCAGAATCTCAGGTCCCCATCCGTAAAACTGATGTTACACCTACTGTCAGGTTGCTGTGAGTATTAAATGAGGTGACATGTGAAAGCACCTGCCACTGTGCAGGGTGCACAACAGGCTTCAGAAATGTTTTCTAAAATTAAGTGAAAAAGTCTAATTATTCAAAAAGGACATTTGGGGTACATGAGAACAGAGCTGGCTGGTGAGACACATGACCAGCACTCCATCCACACTGACGAAAGAAGGCTAAAGGCAGGAGTCACGAACTCAGGATCACAGCCATTCTGTGTAAGGGATAGGATTCCTCCAAAGAGGCCAAATTGGAAGAACTGTTTCCAATGTTATTCGAATTACTTTCCTAGTGAGCCTCTGAGAAAGTGAAGCCATTTTTTCTTGGGCAGCTTGTCTGGGACACTGTTCTTGCAGAAAACCAATAGGACTAGGGTTGCTTGACAGAAACCGAGATGAAGAGAAATATTTGCCATATTTGCTGAGCCTGATGGAGTGAAAAAAATCTCCATGTTGACTCCCAAGCCAGAATCCTAGAAGGCAGCCAAGAGCCCTGCCTTTCCCTCCGCCCCACATTTTTGACTGATTTCATCTCTTAATCTCTCGGGTTTGTTCTCTTTGCTCTATTTCCACTACTTTAGAGTTCTGAGCTCAGTTTTTCTTCCCAGAACGATTATAGCAGCCTTCTCACTGGTCTCTGCCTTGGTCTCATCTCCTTCCAACCAACCTCCTTGATGTCTTCAGAAAAGCAAGTGTTCCTGTTTAAGTCCTTCAGTGGCCCCACTGTCTACACAGGAGGCCCAAACTTCCTGGGAAGCCTTCAAAGATTTCCACAAACTGGCCCCTATCTCTCAGGGTCATGTTTCAAAGACACACCCTATATTCCAGCCATGCAGAACAACGTGAGATTTTTATAAGGGGTGCTCTTGCTGTTCCCTGTTTAAAATAATCTTTTGTTTTCTCACTCCTTCAAGGCCCATTTCAAGTGAGTAGCTCCTCCTCTGGGAAGCCACCCTTAACCTATCTTGGCTGTTAATCACACCTTTTGTGCCACTCTCTTACCTAGCACTTTCCTTCATTATTCTGAACTGCAATTGTTTTTCATGGTTGTTTATTTTTTCAGTACCTTTTTTATTTATTTTAGAGAGGAAAGGAGAGATAGAAACACCGATGAGAGAAACATCGATTGGGGCCGGCTGCACACCCCCTACTGTGGATCGAGTCCACAACCTGGGCATGTGTCCTGACCGGGAATCAAACGTGACCTCTTGATTCATGGATTGACACTCAAATACTAAGCAACACTGGCTGGGCAATGGTTGCTTTCTTTATGGGCCTGTGAGTTCCCTGTCAAGTAACAGATGACCAATATAATATTTTTTAAATGAATGAATGACAAAATAACATACATGTCATCTATCTTTGGCTGTAATGCCCAAGCTGAGTTGTATGAAAGCCTACAAAATGTTAACTACTTGAGATAAACAACAAAGAAATTATAAGAGATGTGATTTGCACACAAAAATAATCTGTGTGAGTTTGAACTCTCCCCCGCCCCCCGCCCTCCATAATGATACTTAATAAATGTTGAATAATAATACAACAATAGACTTTTAAAAAATATATTTATAGAATAACACTGTAAACATTTCATCACTTCCCTGTGGCTGAAAAATTCTAAAAGTTTAACAACATCGGCCTAATAAAACAAAACCAAAATTCTGTTAATGAGAAGAGATAAGTGAAAACAAAGAAACCTTGGTAAACAATCTATTTAGATAGCCAAAAGAATGGGAAATTTGAAAATTTTGTGTAGCATAAAAGATAAAAAGAAACTAATGTTCTTTTTCTTAGAAAAAACTTAGGTTGAAATTGAAAAGAGGCCAAATATAACTCTTGACACTTCTCAGGTCTTCCAGCACATGGCATCCTGCATAGTCTTGGATTAAAGTCACATTCATCCTCCCAATAACATTCACCCACAAGCCAGAAAAATGCAGTGATCTGAAGCTATTTCACTGTTCTGGGGGTTTAATTTTTTGGATAAACTCATTAATTAAAAAAATAATAGATTCCAGGTCAGGAGTTAGGCATATCTGGGTTCAAATGCAGGCTTTTAATTCTTTTTTTTTTTTTAAATTAAATCTTTATTGTTCAGGTTACATTTGTTCCTCTTTTTTTCCCCCCCATAACTCCCCTCCTCCCAGTTCCCGCCCCACCCTCCGCCCTCACTCCCCACCCACTGTCCTCATCCATAGGTGCACGATTTTTGTCCAGTCTCTTCCCGCATCTCCCATTCCCCTTTCCCCCCCAAGAATAGTCAGTCCATTCCCTTTCTATGTCCCTGATTCATTATAATCACCAGTTCATTCTGTACATCAGATTATTTATTCACTTGATTCTTAGATTCACTTGTTGATAGATGCATGTTTGTTGTTCACAATTTGTATCTTTACCTTTTTCTTCTTCCTCCTCTTAAAGGATACCTTTCAGCATTTCATATAATACTGGTTTGGTGGTGATGAACTCCTTTAGCTTTTCCTTATCTGTGAAGCTCTTTATCTGACCTTCAATTCTGAATGATAGCTTTGCTGGATAAAGTAATCTTGGTTGTAGGTTCTTGGTATTCAGCACTTTGAATATTTCTTGCCATTCCCTTCTGGCCTGCAAAGTTTCTGTTGAGAAATCAGCTGACAGTCGTATGGGTATTCCCTTGTAGGTAATTGAGTCTCTTTCTCTTGCTGCTTTTAAGATTCTCTCTTTGTCTTTTGCTCTTGGCATTTTAATTATGATGTGTCTTGGTGTGGTCCTCTTTGGATTCCTTTTGTTTGGGGTTCTCTGCGCTTCTTGGACCTGTAAGTCCATTTCTTTCACCAGGTGGGGGAAGTTTTCTGCCATTATTTCTTCAAATAGGTTTTCAATATCTTGCTGTCTCTCATCTTCTGGCACCCCTATTATTCTGATGTTGGTACGCTTGAAGCTGTCCCAGAGGCTCCTTACACTATCTTCGTATTTTCGGATTCTTTTTTCATTTTGCTTTTCCGGTTGGGTGTTTTTTGCTTCTTCGCATTTCAAATCTTTGACTTGATTCTTGCGCTCCTCTGGTCTGCTATTGGGTGTCTGTATAATATTCTTTATTTCAGTCCGTGTATGCTTAATTTCTAGTTGGTTCTTTATCATAGCATCGAGGGTCTCATTAGTTTTCGTGACTCTCTCCTCAAGTTTATTGACAGCTTCTAGCACATTTTTGCAAGCCCTCAAAATTGCGATTTTTAGCTCTATATCCTCCATTTCTGTCATGTTTTTTTGTCTCCGCATTTTTTATGCTTTCTTGGTGCACCCCCTAGTGGTCTTTGTGCGCAGTCTTGTTCTAGTTGAGCCTTGATTGTTGTAGTTAATACTAGAGGGATTTGACCACCAGGCCGACTGGCTGTGTGAATCAGCTGTGTCTGCCGCGGAAAACTTCTGTCCTCTGGGGAGGTGCTAATCTAGCCTTTGCCTGAGGCGATCTGGCAAATGGCTCTGCGCAGGGCTTGGGCGGGGCGGGCTCAACAGGGCGGGCGGAGGGAGCGGTTATGGCCCCTCTCAGTCCCGTTCCCAGAGGCTCTGCTTCTCAGAACCCCAGGAACCGCTGCAAACCTCGGAGGGAAAGCTGCCTTCCAACTGATGCCAGACACTCCCGCTTCTCCCGTTTGGGTCCGAGTCCCCAGCGATTCGCCCGTATCTGGAGCTCAGAGTCTGAGACTCCCCCCTGACCGAAAACGACAACCGCGCTCTCAGCCACCAGCCCGCTTTGCGCGCGCACCTCCGCACCTGAGTATTTTCCACACTGCGCCTCCTCTGAGCCTCGGTGTGCTGTTATTTTTCCTTCTAGTTGAAGAGTCTCTCCTCAGCCAGCCTTCCTGTGGTTCTGGGTGATGTCCGTTCCGTCTTTTCAGGGTGGGCGGAGGGAGCGGTTATGGCCCCTCTCAGTCCCGTTCCCAGAGGCTCTGCTTCTCAGAACCCCCGGAACCGCTGCAAACCTCGGAGGGAAAGCTGCCTTCCAACTGATGCCAGACACTCCCGCTTCTCCCGTTTGGGTCCGAGTCCCCAGCGATTCGCCCGTATCTGGAGCTCAGAGTCTGAGACTCCCCCCTGACCGAAAACGACAACCGCGCTCTCAGCCACCAGCCCGCTTTGCGCGCGCACCTCCGCACCTGAGTTTTTTCCACACTGCGCCTCCTCTGAGCCTCGGTGTGCTGTTATTTTTCCTTCTAGTTGAAGAGTCTCTCCTCAGCCAGCCTTCCTGTGGTTCTGGGTGATGTCCGTTCCGTCTTTTAGTTGTATTTTTGAAGTGGTTGTTTGCGGCAGCAGTCTGTGGTGTTTACCTATGCCGCCATCTTGGTCTCCTCGGCTTTTAATTCTTACTAGCTATTTAACTTAGTGCCAAATCCAATCTCAATTTTATTTTTAACTCATAAAATTAGGAGAATAGCACTCATTCTAGAAGATAATACTAAAGAGTTCAGCAGAATGAAGCAGAGAGAGATCAAGCATTTGAGAGCATGGGTAACAAATTGGAAAGTTCCTACATATTTACATAGGAGTTTTCAGAATAAAAAACAAAACCAAAACTGAATAAATAAAAGAAACCCTAGGCTTGGCAAAGATAACATTTGAAGAGATAATGGCTGAGAGTAATCCAGAATTAAGGAAAGACATGAGCCCTCAGATTGAAAAGACACTATAAGCAGGACAAGAAAAATAAACCAATTCCTTGGTACATTATAGTAAAATTGCAGAATATAAGATTCCTAGAGAGAAAGGATGACAATTAGATTGATAGCTGACTTCACCAATAAAAATTAATGAAAAAAACTCTTCAAGGGGCAGAAGGAAAACTGTCAATTTAGTTTCATACCCAGATAAACTATTCTTCAAGTCATAGCAAAATATATTTTCAGATATACAAAGACAAAAGGGTTTGTGATATTCACTGAAAAAAATAGTAAAGACAATTCAGCAAGAAGAAAAGTGAATCCACAGGAAAACAATGGTGAACACAGATGTTGAGAAATCATAAAATGAACTACAGTTTATATTTTGTTAGTGTTTTTAAAAAAAGTGAAGTTAATACTCTAATATGGATAAGATTTGCATATGGGGCTGTCCAATGAATAAAATTTATTAAAACCCTTGTATTGTTTAGGAAGAGAATAAAGATACTAAATAATTTAGAATTATTAATTTATGTGATTTCCATATATGTAGGTTTATTAAATGTTTTAGTATTCTGGGCTAGACTCCCAAAATATCTTCTTGGAAAAGCAAAATGCCTCTCTTTTCCATTTTGTAGATGTAGTCTTCCTAAAATATTTTACAACTAGCTTGTCTCAAACTAAGCTCACATTTTAGTCTACTGTGTAGAGGTTTGTTTAGGATCTTTGGTCTTTTTCCCAGCTGAGTCATTTTCCCTTCCTGTTTATTCCTTCATTTTTCACATTTGAACTTCAACTATTTTTTATCTTCCCCAATGCTCTACTCTTTTTCTTCCCTTTTAACTCTTTTATCGTAATTTCAGATTTACAGAAAAATTGAAAGAATAGTGCAAAGAATTCCCATTCACCCTTCACCTAGATTGTCCAAACGTTAACATTTCACCACAATGGCTTTATCCTTTTCTCTCTCCCCTTGCCTGTGCACATGATTGCACATACACGATTATATAATTCTATATTATATATGTTTTATCTGTATAAAATGTTTCTTTGAACTATTTGAGAATAAATTTAACACATGATGTCCCTTCACCCCTGCATACTGAAGTATAGTCAGTTCTGCTACAATGGGACATATATTTTTCTAAAAATCATCATGCTTAAGGGCACAAGGCTCAAAAATTTCATCAGTGACATGTGTAAAATAAGATAGACACCTAATAAAAACAATAGCACCACTTTATACATGTTCAATGGGTAGAAATAGATAAATACTATAATAAATGTCATTCTACCTTGAAACAGGTATGAAGTTTGCTCAGGAACTGGGCACCAGAAGGGTTGTAGTCTGTGAGTAGATTGTGCAGTGGTGGAAGGAAGATGGAAAATTGTATCACTGCTGTGGACAGAGGTGTATGGCTCATAATACACCCAATGAACTGAGGTAGCTGGTAGGTGTTAGAGGTGTGCATGTTTGAGTTCTGTGTATTCCTACACATCTTGGTTCATCTGGGTGCAGTTTTCTGCATTCACTTGGTATTTCTCACGGATGGTATCATACATAATCAAACATGAAATTTACACTATGCTCAAATTGTTCCCTAACAAATCAATTGCATTAGGATAATCTTATGCAGGTATTACAGCAAAATAACTAGAAAAATTTTAAAAAAATATTTTTATTTATTTCAGAGAGGAAAGGGGAGTGAGAGAGAGATAGAAACATCAATGATGAGAATCATTGAATGGCTGCCTCCTGCACGCCCCCTACTGAATAAATGTCATTCTACCTTGAAACAGGTATGAAGTTTGCTCAGGAACTGGGCACCAGAAGGGTTGTAGTCTGTGAGTAGATTGTGCAGTGGTGGAAGGAAGATGGAAAATTGTATCACTGCTGTGGACAGAGGTGTATGGCTCATAATACACCCAATGAACTGAGGTAGCTGGTAGGTGTTAGAGGTGTGCATGTTTGAGTTCTGTGTATTCCTACACATCTTGGTTCATCTGGGTGCAGTTTTCTGCATTCACTTGGTATTTCTCACGGATGGTATCATACATAATCAAACATGAAATTTACACTATGCTCAAATTGTTCCCTAACAAATCAATTGCATTAGGATAATCTTATGCAGGTATTACAGCAAAATAACTAGAAAAATTTTAAAAAAATATTTTTATTTATTTCAGAGAGGAAAGGGGAGTGAGAGAGAGATAGAAACATCAATGATGAGAATCATTGAATGGCTGCCTCCTGCACGCCCCCTACTGGGGATCGAGCCAGCAAACTGGGCATGTGCCCTTGACCAGAATCGAACCCGGGACCCTTCAGCCCACAGGCTGACGCTTTACCTACTGAACCAACCCAGTTAGGGCCTGACTATATTTCCTAGAATCTCTTAGATTACCACAGAAAAATGAATCACCAAAATAAAAAAAATTAACATTAATACAATAATTATCTAATCTACAGCCTTTATTCAGAATTCAGTATTTGTCCCAATGTCTTTTTACAGCAAAAGAAAATCCTGGACCAGACACTGCATGCAGTTGTCCTGTCTCTCATCTCCTTTAATCTAGAATAGTTCTTGGGTCTTCTTTTGTTGTAAGACATTAACATTTTTGAAGAGTATAGGCCAGCTATTTTGTAGACTGTTCCTCAATTCAGATCAAACCCTCTACTCTTACCTCAATCTATCACTGTTGGCTAGCGCACTATTAATGCCTGAAATCTTCCTGAATGTGATTCAAGTGTGGAGGTAGGGTCTGTCTTTTATCATAACTACCTTTGAAGAATCAGGTGAAATCTGCACTGGGAAACCTAGAAAATGGCAGTTATCTAATTGCCCTTAAAAAAGGTCCCTTCTTACTAAAAGACACACTGGCCACCACAGAAAGTAATTGGCTTACCACACCCCAAAGTATAGGAAGTACGTCACTCACTGGACAGTCATTTTAGAAGCCTGACATTCAGATCAATATTTTAGGAAGGCTATTGTGACTGGAGGAGGAAGACTGGGAACTAACATTTTTTGAGCTTCTACAATATGGTCATTATACACATTATGGTAATATGCATTTAATCCTCATAACAGCTCTCTGTCTTGCTTGAAATCTTACACTCTTTCCCCCCATATTTTACTGTATCTTCTACGAATCACAAGGGCTCTCATGTGTACTAGTATTAATTAACAGAAAAGGAACCACTACCATTGCTGTCCAGGGCAGAGCATGAGTCAGAGACGCCACATCGCACACATACAGATAATAATGCAGATAATAATGCTGTCACTGCTTTACCCGCCAAGTCTTGTGTCTGAAGCACAGCTCTACCATGTGGTTGTAGAGTTCTACCACTTATTTGCCATGAGGCTGTGGAGTGCTGAGCTCTGTGCAGGTGCTCAATACACGTTCTGAAAAATATTTTGAAAACGCTTTTACTCATTTTTGTGGTGGGCTTTTTTTCTCAACTGGAATCTTATCTTGACTAAAAAGCAAATAGCACAAACCCATTTATTCATTCATTAATTCACTCACTCACTCACTCTCCTTAGCATGCCTAAAACATGTCTAAGGATTCTATGGAAACATTCCATAATCCTTTGGCATCCTGAGGTTTAGAACAGGACGGTTCTAATTAATAGATAGTAAGAAATAGTATAATAATACCATTCTTTTTCTAGACAATAGAGATTGCCTCATTATTCCTCTAAATGACAGAGAAAGAAATGGTACCACACTGGAGCCTGAATTCCTGTCTTGCCATCTCTGTGCTTTATGTAATGGAGGCCAGAAGGACAAACCACTTGGAGTCTATGGTTGGTGGCTGTGGTCTCTCTGTGTGGGATGCATGCAGTCAGGTAGGTTTTAGAATAGGATGTGTGACCTGGGGAAGACTGTTTACTTACATTCAACTTGAGCCACATCCCCCTTGCATGGCCCCTGAGGAAATCCAGACCCTCAACATACTGGGTCAAGCCACATTTTTAGATCCTTCAGAAGTATGAAATGTGTTAGACTAGAGGGGTCTAGACCTTGCAATCTCTGAGCTGGAATTTAAATATAATAAGCCACATTTTTAGATCCTTCAGAAGTATGAAATGTGTTAGACTAGAGGGGTCTAGACCTTGCAATCTCTGAGCTGGTTAAATATAATAATAAGCCACATTTTTAGATCCTTCAGAAGTATGAAATGTGTTAGACTAGAGGGGTCTAGACCTTGCAATCTCTGAGCTGGAATTTAAATATAATAAGCCACATTTTTAGATCCTTCAGAAGTATGAAATGTGTTAGACTAGAGGGGTCTAGACCTTGCAATCTCTGAGCTGGAATTTAAATATAATAAGCCACATTTTTAGATCCTTCAGAAGTATGAAATGTGTTAGACTAGAGGGGTCTAGACCTTGCAATCTCTGAGCTGGAATTTAAATATAATAAGCCACATTTTTAGATCCTTCAGAAGTATGAAATGTGTTAGACTAGAGGGGTCTAGACCTTGCAATCTCTGAGCTGGAATTTAAATATAATAAGCCACATTTTTAGATCCTTCAGAAGTATGAAATGTGTTAGACTAGAGGGGTCTAGACCTTGCAATCTCTGAGCTGGAATTTAAATATAATAAGCCACATTTTTAGATCCTTCAGAAGTATGAAATGTGTTAGACTAGAGGGGTCTAGACCTTGCAATCTCTGAGCTGGAATTTAAATATAATAAGCCACATTTTTAGATCCTTCAGAAGTATGAAATGTGTTAGACTAGAGGGGTCTAGACCTTGCAATCTCTGAGCTGGAATTTAAATATAATAAGCCACATTTTTAGATCCTTCAGAAGTATGAAATGTGTTAGACTAGAGGGGTCTAGACCTTGCAATCTCTGAGCTGGAATTTAAATATAATAAGCCACATTTTTAGATCCTTCAGAAGTATGAAATGTGTTAGACTAGAGGGGTCTAGACCTTGCAATCTCTGAGCTGGAATTTAAATATAATAAGCCACATTTTTAGATCCTTCAGAAGTATGAAATGTGTTAGACTAGAGGGGTCTAGACCTTGCAATCTCTGAGCTGGAATTTAAATATAATAAGCCACATTTTTAGATCCTTCAGAAGTATGAAATGTGTTAGACTAGAGGGGTCTAGACCTTGCAATCTCTGAGCTGGAATTTAAATATAATAAGCCACATTTTTAGATCCTTCAGAAGTATGAAATGCAGAGAGGAAGGGAGAGGGATAGAGAGTTAGAAACATCTATGAGAGAGAAACATCGATCAGCTGCCTCCTGCACACCCCCTACTGGGGATGTGCCCACAACCAAGGTACATGTCCTTGACCAGAATCGAACCTGAGACCCTTCAGTCCGCAGGCTGACACTCTATCCACTGAGCCAAACCGGTTAGGGCAGAATCTGGAAAATTATTAACACTATTTTGTAATTCTACTGAGTTTCATTTAATTGTTAATATAATTTATATTTATACATGAAAGACTACACGTATTGACATTGTTTTTTTGTAGCATAATAATAAAACAAACATCTGTGAACCTACCACCTAACTTAAAGAACAGACATTATCATTGCATTGTCTTGGTATCCCTCTACTGTTATCCCTCTACTGTTATTTCTACTTGGTATCCCTCTACTGTTCCTTTCCCCAGTTATTTCTCACTAACTCCTATCCTCAATTATTTTTCTCATTCCCTAAAGTTTTTTCACATGTGTACAATGGCTGTATGTTCTGGCAATGTAATTATAGTTCAACTAGCCAAAATCTGGGGTTACGGGGAGAACAGGGAAAGAAGATGGAAAAAGGGTTACAAAATTTTCTGTAATTGTTTACTGAGGCAGCTGTGTATGAAAATAAATGAATAATTATGGAATATTTTAGTTCCAATATCATCTGTGCCCTTGAGAACCAGCATTCTAAGGATGGCAGAAAGGAAATATAAATGTAATAGGAAGAGGTTAAATAAAAGCTCTGTGGTCTTGAATTTGAAGTAGTATGTATACATGTGTATATATCTGTATCTGTATATGTGTGTGTACTTCCTAGCTCTGTTCACTAAAAAGGCCCAGAAACAATGACCAGCCAGTGAGTATCCTCACACCCAGGTTTTGGTCTTGAGACATTATTTCTCACTAAAAGAAACCAGTGCTTCCTGAGGAAATAATGTCTGATTCCAGGTTTGGGGACAGGAAACACATATGATGAGCCTGGAACAGCTTGTAATATCAGGCAGCAGGGGAGCTATAAAAAACAAGTGGGGTCACACAAAACAAAAGAACTCAGATGCCAACCTGAAGAAGTTCTCACCAGCCAAAGATGGGACAGTTTGAGTTTCAATAACAATAATTTCAATGAACCCAAACCCATCAAATATGTTTAAATAATAATACATATATTAAAGAATTATCACATTGAGAGGTGATAGGGAACTAATTATATTATATTAAAAACTGGTAAGTAAAGGGAAAGAATGAAGCCTTTCTCTTGCCTTTGCTTTATGAATTGTAACACTGGGTAATAAAATAGTATATGAGGAAAAGTGTCTCTTTATAAAAATACTAGAGGCCCAATGCACGAAATTCTTGCAAGGGGCTCGGCCCTCGCAGCCCCGGCTTCGTCCGGAAGGTCATTTGGCTGTCTGGTCTAATTAGCATATTATGCTTTTATTATTATAGATTCCAACCAATAAATGAGCCTGGCCAGTGGTTGAGCGTTGACCTATGAACCAGGAGGTCACAGTTTGATTCCCGGTCAGGGCACATGCCTGGGCTTGTGGGCTCGTTCCCCAGTAGGGGCCATGCAGGAGGCAACTGATCAATGATTCTCTCTCATCATTGATGTTTCCATCTCTCTCTCCCTCTCCCTTCTTCTCTGAAATAAATAAAAATATATTTTAAAAAAATGATAAACTTAGAACTCTATCACCATTTTGTGACTCCCAATGGATAAACAAATATAGGCATTAAGCCTCATGGGCTATTAAAAGTCAGCAAACCAGACCTGCTATGTTCTCCTATAGTCATAAAAAATATCACCTGCAGTCTTGCCAAAGAGATTCAACCTGAGTCTAACCAATCTCAGGATCCAGTGCCAATTAGAGGGAAATACAAAGGACAGAGGAATATGGTGAAAGGCACCATGACTATGCAATCAGCAATACCTACACTTAGGAAAACTATAGGCCTGGTTTCTTCAACAAGTAAATTGTAATGAAATGAAAGGGTGGAGGAGGAATGTATAAGTTAAAGATAATTAAAAGCCATATCATTTTTTTTTCTATTCCAGAAAACTTTTGCAAGTTGTTTTATTTACAATGCCAACTTTTAAAAGACACTAAAGTTAACTGGACAATAAACTAGGCAGAAATCGCTTTGCAAAAAGGGGGAAAGCCCAAAATGCCACTTTCTATAGAGAACCCACAATTCAGTTTTATTCAGAGCAAAGAAAAAAGATACTTTTGATCATACTGGAAGAAACTCAGCCATAGGTTTGGAATCTGTACCCAAACTACACATGCAATGAAGACAATATTCTGACAGCGGTTCTCAACCTGTGGGTCACGAACAATGAAAATACATCCTGCATATCAGATATTTACATTACGATTCATAACAGTAGCAAAATTACAGTTATGAAGTAGCAA